CCGGACGTCCGGTATGGGTTATCCAGTTGGACAGAGTTTTTGATACTTTTGCTCCTATAAATACCACTTCATTCTTCCATTCAACTAGACTTTGAGGAGCATCAAAAGTGAGATATTTTCTTAGAATTACTTGATCTTTCATTTTGCATTTACTCCATTGATTTCTTCATATCAAAACTTTGATTGATTTAAACTCTTTTAATTATCATCTTCATCAAAATTCTTCATCTCTCTTTTTATACTTACTTATTTCTATCATTCATAGAAGAGAGATATATTTTGAAGAAAAGTGTTGAACTTACATTGCATCAATTCTTCCACTTCTCTAAAACTTTGATTGAGTGAATTAAACTTTGAAATCATTATATTCATCAAAGTTTTCACAACTAACACTTGATCTTTCATTTATTGCTATTCATTAAAGTGTTAGTCTACTTCTCTTCTTGTACTCAACTTTGAATTTATCATTCATTCATTAAGAAGAGAAGATTTCATTTGTAAAATTCATTTGAATTGTGGGTCGTGTTGAAGTCCCTTAAAGATCAATATTGTATAAGGATTGGTGCTTCTTATTGTAAGTCACCATGTGAGTTATATTGAGGTCCCGTAAAACTCAATAGTGTGGGTCGTGTTGAGATCCCGTAAAACTCAACATTGTATAAGGATCAGTGCTCCTTGTTTGTAAGTCACTGGAAGCGTGTTAAATGGTTGAATTATACCATAAGTCAATCAACATAGTAAAAACACCTTGCTCGTGTCAGAGAGCTTGGTAACGGGGGACGTAGATCGTTGCATTGGATCGAACCTTCACAAATATATTGTTTGCATCATCTCTCCCTTTTACTAATCGCTTTTATATTTGTGCTTACTATTTGAATTAATCTATTTAGTCTTCACTTACTTAAATTTAGATTAATTTTTCGGAAAAGTTTTAAAAACCAATTCACCCCCTCTTGGTTAGTTATTCTTGAGCTTTCATACTGAGCCTCAATACCACATGCCTCAAGAAAACTAGCAAAAGGGTCAGGATTTCTACAAGTTTCATCATATCTCCCATAAAACTCACCTCCTCTATCCGATCTTACTGCTTTGATTTTCTTATTTTTCTGGAGTTCCACGACAGCCTTGGAAACCTTAAAAGCTTCCAATGAATCTGATTTTTCTCGAATGAGTTCAATGTAACCATAATGAGAATAATCGTCAGTAAAGGTAATGAATATAATTTCCCAAAGCAGCAGGTGAAATGGGACCACAAACATCAATATGAATTAAATCCAGAATTTCCACACTTCTACTAATCTTTTGTTTTTTGGTTTTCGTTGGAAGCTTCCTTTTGATACTAGCAACACAATTTTCAAAATCAGAAAAATCCAAATCACCCAATACACCTTCTTTAGTCAACCTTTTCATTCTTTCTTTTGAAATATGAGCCAATCTTTTATGCCACAACATGGAAGAGTTTTCATTGGATCTAGTATGTTTAGAACCAACTACATCATTCACAACAGAGGTACTAGAAGACGTAGAATCCAAAATAGGAAACAAGTCAATTTTATACAAACCATTATATAAAGTAGCAGTACCAATCACAACAGAATTATAATAGATTGTAGCCTTTCCATTTCCAAAATAAAAACCATATCCACATTTATCCAAAATGGAAACAGAGATAAGATTTCTTCTGATAGAAGGTATAAAAGCTATATCAGACAAGTTCAAAACATGCTTAGAAGCCAAAATAAGTCTGACTATTTTAATATGTTCAACTTTAACGTTTATTCCATTACCCATATTTACCACTGACTATGTATCAATTGGTCTTCTGCTGTTCTTTAATTCCTGCTAGGAATTTGTAGTGTGAATGGTTGCACCAGTGTCTAGCCACCAAGTATCAGAAGGCACATCAACTAGGTTAGACTCAAAACACACTAGTAGCGAATGAGTACCTTTCTTGTCTAACCAAGCCTTAAACTTCTTACGATCAACTTTCTTGTGCCCATAGATATGACATAAGTTACGTTTGCCCTTGAAAACTTCATTTTTAGCCCTAACTGGAATACTCACAGTAGCCTGCTGAGAAGGTCTCCCAGATTTCATCTTACTGGAGTTGCTGCTATTACCTTTGAAAAATTTCTTCTTCCCTTTATCAGCAATTACCATGAAACCAACATGAGACTTGGCCTTTTTCAT